GGTGGGGGTTGGGATGGTGGGGGCTGGGGCAGGGCGCAGGGGGTGGCGCGGCCCCTGTGTGGGGTCTGAGCAGCTGCCCCGGCCCAGGCGACGCGGCCGTGGTGCCCCACGTCTCGTTCTCGGCCGCCCTGACGTGGGAGCATGTGGATCCGGGCACCATCCCCTTCGACAAGGTGCTGGTCAACGACGGTGGTGCCTACGACCCTGACTCTGGTGAGTGGTGGGACGGGAGGGGGCAGCCCCCTGCTGCCTACCCTGGGACCCCCACGGCGTGTCCTGAGACCCCAGGGTGCGGGTGCCAACCCACGTAGCTGGGCCCCAGCCTGCTGCTGCAGCATCCCGCAGCGTGGGTGGGCCCAGACTCAGAGAGGGGGCAGGGCCGTGGGTCCTGGGGCTGCATGGCCTGACACCCCCCTGCCCCCAGGCACGTTCGTGGCCCCCGTGGCCGGGCGCTACTTCATCAGCGTGGTGCTGACGGGGCACAAGCACGAGAAGATCGAGGCCGTCCTGTCCCGCTCCAACCAGGGCATCGCCCGCATCGACTCCGCCGGCTACCAACCCGAGGGGCTGGAGAACAAGCCCGTGGCCGAGCACCAGCCCAGCCCTGGGGCGCTGGGCGTCTTCGCCCTGGTCCTGCCCCTGGAGGCAGGCGACAGCCTGTGTGTGGACCTGGTGATGGGCCGCCTGGCGCACTCCCCCGACGAGCCCCTCACCATCTTCAGCGGTGTCCTGCTCTACGAGGGGGATGAGGATGGGGCCTAGCCCTCGCCACGGGCGTGGGGGGCACTGGCGCTGCAGCCTGGTGTGGGGGCTCCCTGCCCTCCCAGGGGCAGCAATGCTGTGGGGGGGGCAGAGCAGGGCTCCCCGCACCCCCCAGGCCTGGCCTCCCCAGGGTGCGGTGGGGTCCTGCCCAGCCTGGGGGGCCCAGCCCCACGTCCTGGGGAGAGTGGGGGCAGAGCCCGGGTATGATGGGGCATGAGCCCCCCCACTTCATGGGGTGGCCCCCCTGCGCAAGCTGCCCCAGGGCCCTTCACTGATGCCCAGGGCTGCAGTGATGGTCCTGACCACCCCCACATCCAGCCTGCTGCTGGGGGGGCCTCAGTTCCCACCCCGCTGCAACAAGGTCTGGTTCCCTGCCCCCCCACCCCCAAAGAACCCTGCCCCACGTGTCAGCCCCTGCCCACGTGCTACCACGCTGCTGCCACGTCACCGCCTGCCCGTGCCCACCGCCACGGCTTCACGTCGCACCAGCTCAGGACCGCCTGCTGCGGGCCCAGCTCCACCTGCCCCCACGGCCACGCCGGCGGAGCTGGCAGGGGCGAGGGCATCATGCCCCCCCAGGCAGCGCCATGTCGTGCCAGGCCCGGCGGGGCGGAAGGGGCGCCAGGCGCCGTCCCCACGGCAGGGCCGCGCTCTGCAACGGGTATTAATAAAGGAGCGTCACCTTTTTGTACCCACTGGTCCTGCCCCCTTCCTGCCCGCGCGGCGCAGGGTGCCTGACATGTTGCAACGGGGGCTACACAAGAGCTGCGGCCGTGGGGGAAGCCCAGACCTGGGGGCGTAGCTCTCCCCCATCCTCAGCCTGCAGCGAGGTGGGCAGGCAGGGCAGTGGTGGGGACCCCGGGATGCGGTCTGGCTCCGGGACCGGGGCGCCAGCCCCCTACCCATCACCCTGCCATGCAGAGAGAGCCGGCGGCAGCAGCACCAGGTTGCAACAGCTTTATTGCCTGCGCAGGGAGCACCGGGCCCCTGTCCCCCGCCGCCACCTCCCCCCGACCTGGGGGTCTCCCAGGCCCCCCCAGCAGGGGGCAGAGGGGAGGGGGCCACCCCCAGTCCTGGCCCTGCCAGGGTGATGGGCCACCCGTCTGTCCATCCATCCGTCCACCCGCTCAGAAATCCTCGTCCCAGCCCGAGAACTCCTCCTCGGCCGGCGTCCAGTCCACCGAGAACCGCTTGAAGTTGGCGTAGGGGGGGCCCTGGGGGGAGGCGTCAGCCTGAGTGCCAGCCGCGGCAGGATTGGGGCCGCGTAGCTGGGGGTGCAGCCCCGCGGCCCAGAGGATGTGGCTGCGGCGCTGCCACAGCCCTGGAGCCCCGCGGGGCCCCCTCACCTGCTTCATCAGCGCCAGGGTCGGGGCGTCCAGCTGGCGCAGCGCGAGGCGCTTCCACTTCACCGCCCCGAACCACCTGCGGGCAGGGGGCGGTGGGCAGTGCAGGGCGGGCTGGGGGCTCCAGCGGCACCGGGCACCCATCCCAGCAGCTCTACCTGTGCTTCCGGATGCCGCGGATGCCGGCGCCCGTGTCCCCCAGCCGCTGCCCCGGCCGGCGCCTACGAGGGCCACAGAATCAGCACCGTGCCACGCGAGCGGCGCCCACGGCCGCCCTGTTTGGCGTGGCATGGGATGGGCACGGCCCCCTCCCCAGCCTGGCCCGGCACGTGGCCCCGACCCCAGCACCTGCAGAGCTTGGCGATGAGGGAGCAGGCGGCCTCGCTCAGGTAGGCCGGGAAGGAGAAGACGCCATCCAGGATCTTGCTGTAGATCTTCTGGGGCTCAGCGCTGTGGAACGGGGGTCTGCGGGGGGGGCAGGGTCATGTGCCGTGCAGGACACGCGGCACGGACCCCCGCGCAGGCGCCCAGCCGGCCACAGCTGGGGGGCACCAACAGGGGGCCGGTGGGGCGCCCACCCCTGGACTCTCCCTGGACG